GCATTGGGATTAAAAGTCCCGTTCTAGCCTGCTAATGTATGGATTCACTTGCCTATTCTGTATCTTAAAATATTATTTCTTGTGTTCCAGGTAGAACTCAATTACCTAAGTATTTCTTCAAAATTTTGCAAGCACCTCGTATCTCCTCCCTTGCAACAGCCTCAGCTCCCTGATCCTTTGCCCTGATTCTGTTCAATTCACTCACCTTATCAAACCCAACTCTGGTGAAATCCAACTCTTCATTACCTCTTCATCTATACACTTTTGACTAAACATGGTTAGAGCAAAACACATAATTATGCTCACAGGTGCTAGTGGAACTCATGATCACTAGCCCAAGCAGACCTTAGTGCTCAGCAAAGCTCCAAATTCCCTTTGCCCACTCACTCCTCCACCCTCTTAGATTCCCATTTCATACCTACTTCTTTCTCACCACGCCTTCAACATTTCTTCACCATCCTTCCTCTCAGGTGATAGCCATGTTTATTTTTTTGTTTTGTTTTAAAGATTTTATTTATTTCTTCAAGAGAGACAGAGACAGAAAGAGGGGCAGAGGCAGGATGTGGGACTCGATCCCAGGACCCTGGGATCATGACACGAGCTGAAGGCAGATGCTTAACTGACTGAACCACCCAGGTGCCTGATAACCATGTTTTTTATATTACTGAGAAGATAAGAACAATCAGAAGAAAACTTCCAATATATATTTACTTATCTGTCTCCCTCGTCTCCATTAGAACGAGAAGGAACTATGTATCTCCAGGACCTACAAGGTGCCTGCACCACTCTGTATGTCTAATAAGAATTTTTGGTTGAGGGAAAAAAAAAAAATCAGTAAAATAGATAAACAAGGGAAACAGCATTTTCCTACAAGAGTCATAAGTAGGCTCATGTTAAGTAACTCTGGTATCCAGAGTTAAATTAAAAGCAAATCTATCATCTCCCAATTCAATGCTCCAGACCTAAATCATTTTGACACTATAGTGTTATCATGAAATCTCGTCTGCTCTTTCTCAAAAGTTCCATGGTCTCCTTAACTCAACCTAAGAATTTGAGAGACACATTTTTTCTGCCAAGATTTCCAAACATACTTTCCTATACTTCTACCTTCACAGAGATAGTAGGACAGAAATAGGATTTAATGTCATATTTTATTTCTATTGAATTTTCATATTAATTTTATAGCTCATATGACTAATAGAAAGCAGCTCATATACAGCATTCATAGTTATATTATACAATACTTTTTCAGAATCTGTTATATATTTGAAAGATGTGGAAAAGTCTCAAAATAAAAGCCTATTTAAAATAAGCTCCTCCTCAGGTGCCTGGGTGGCTCAGTTGGTTAAGCGACTGCCTTCAGCTTAGGTCATGATCCTGGAGTCCCAGGATCAAGTCCCACATCAGGCTCCCTGCTCAGCAGTGAGTCTGCTTCTTCCTCTGACCTTCTCCCTCTCATTCCTTCTTTCTCTCTCTCTCTCTCATTATTTCTCTCTCAAATAAATAAATAAAATCTTAAAATAAAATAAGCTCTTCCTCTACCAATTCTGGCACTGAAAAGATAGTCTTCTCTAATGCTTTTCACAATGGGGTCTGATTTTCCCTGCAAATTCTAATCTACATGCCTATCAAGCATATCATTCAAAATGAAATGGTCTGAGTTGTTTGGAGTTTATTCAAATGCCTTTTTTTTTTTCCTAAGAACAAGATACGCATTTAAGAGATCTTCATGATGAAGAACCCTGAGATTCTGATGTAAGAATACAAAGATGGAGGTGTAGGCAGATAAATGGAAGGGCATTAACTTGAGAAATAAAAGTCAACTCAATTATTAGCACCTTTTCCCCAATCTCACTATAAAATGTTGCCAACTTTCAGTTTCCATAAATAGACTGACATATACTGACACCATTGATGTTCAGCATATCAAAACTGAGAATGTACGGTACTCTCCCTAACTTCAGCAGTGTCAAGAAAACACTTAAAGAGAGAGAAAATAATATTCAATGGTAAACATAAATATAAATATTATTTAAGGGAAAAGATGTGACACGAAAGCTTTTTACTCAGTATTACTGTCATTCAGTGTGAAAGCAAGAGAAATTCATCTGAAGAAAATATGTTAGGTCACAAATCATGTAACAATTATTTATGTTTTATTGAAAAACATATTACTTTAAGATAGTCAGCTGTTAACTGTAGGTTTATCATAGATGTTCCTTTTCAAGTTGAGATTGCCATTCATACTTTGCTAAGAGTTTTTACGATGAATGGGTGTTGGATTTTGTCAAATGCTTGCTCTATGTCAAATGATATGATGATATGATCCTTTCTTTTTTTAGCCTGTTGAAATGGTAGATTACAGTGTTTAAATTTTTTCATGTTAAACTACCTTTGTATGTGCGGAATAGATCCCACTTGGTTGTCATGTGGGTTCAACTTTTGTTGAGTATCTTTAAATGAATATTTATGAGAAATACTAATCTATAATGTTTTTTTCTAGCAATGTCTTTTTCTGGTTTTGGTATGAGGTCTCATAGAATATTTTGGTATGAGGTCTCATAGAACGAGTGAGGAGAGTTCTCTGTGCTTCTATTTTTTGGAAAAGACTGTAGATATGCCAAAAATGAAAAACAAAAACATCCACTGATGTTTCTTTATTTTGGAAGTTTATTAATTATTGATTATTTTTAATAGATATAGGATGATTTAGGTTATCTATTTCTCCTGAGTTCTGGCAGTTTGTTTTTCAAAGAAATGGTCCATTTCCCCTAAATTATCAATTCAGTGGCTACAGAGTTGATCAAAATATTCCTCTATAATGCTTTAATGTCCTTGAGATGAGTTGTGATGGTCCTTCTTTAACTTCTGATATTGTTAATCCATGCCTTCTCCCTTTGTTCTTGGTTAGCCTGGCTAGAGGTTTATTAATTTTGATGATCTTTTTAAAGAACCAGCTTTGAGCTGTAATGATTTTCTCTAATGTTTTCCTATTTTCTAGTTCATTGATTTCTGCTCTAAGGTTTCTTATTTCTTGTCTTCAGCTTGCTTTCACTTAAATTGCTCTTCTTTGTCTCCCTATGGTGGAAGCTTAGGTTTTTAAATTTGTATCTTTCTTCTTTTCTCATATATGCATTTAACGTTACATACATTTTGATCTAACCACTACTTTTGTTATATCCCATATATTTGATTACTTGTATTTTCATTTTCAGTTAGTCAAAATAGTTTCCCAATTTATCTTAAGGCTTCTTCTATGAACCCTGGGTTATTTAGAAATAGGTTAATTTCTAAATATTTGGAGATCTCTTAAGTTCTCTTTCTGTTACTGATTTCTAGTTTAATTCGATTGTGGTCTACCTACAATGCCTTTTAAGATTTCTTTTCTTTTATATTGGTCAAGTGCGTTTTATGGCCAGAATTTGATCTATCTAGTGAATGTTCCATATAAGCTTGAGAACACAAATTCTGCTGCTACTGTATGGAGCACCTTGAATTTTAAAACAAACAAGCATTAAACCTAAATACTATTAGAAGACTATTCTATTTTTTAAAACAGTATTTCAATTCATCCTAAACCTTCTAGACACTGCGTCTATGAGTAAAGGTAGAAGAACAGGTAGAATGAGCCCAAAAGTGAATATTCAATCTTCTAGGAGATGACTTAATGTACACATTTTCAGAAACATTCACAAGTAAATCATTCCATGTTATACTTTAAACGGTTTATACATTATAAAATTTCCCTCTTACAACTTGATGCTAATCAAAAACTGACCAAAAACTGACCAAGTATAATACACGTGAATTCATATGTAAGGAATAAGCCTATAAAATTTGTCTACAATTACGATTTCAGTTAGAAAAGATTAAACTTTTGTGCCAGTTGTTTTTTTAAAGAGGTAAGAAAAGGCAATGCCAAATGCAAAGAGGAAGATTTCATTTTTAGTCTCCTGAGATTATTAAAAACAACATGTCATAAAAACTTCTAAAAGTATTTGAAGTTCTTCATTTATCAGATACCAGTTTTTAATTTAAACATAACTGGAGAGAATAAAATATGAGTTAGTTACATAGAAAAGGCGATAAAAGCATATGCCACTGACTACTGCTTCCTCTAACTCTCCTCCTGAATATTAAAGTCAGTAAGACTGCATTCCGGATGCTGGCATTTTGCCAGCCACTCTCTTGATAAGAAAATTATTCTTCACATACTATAACAGCATCTACCCAAGAGAAAATACACAGCTGAATAAGGGTGAAAAGTAATCTGAAAAAAGTCAACTAATCAATCTCTAATCAACTCAACAGAATTCAATCAACTAATCAATTGTGCTGTTAAAAGGACTTCACCCAAACCCTCTCACAGGTTGTTATATTTTGTTTCCAAAGCTCATCCTGGTAGAAGTTGTCGAAACTCCCATTTATTGATTCTGAATTAATAATGCTCTATGACATTCCTTCCCTATACCTTATCTTACTGTCTCTTATTATAATTTAAGTTAACTATTAATTCTACTTTGGATAGCCATGCTATTTCCATTCAAATGATATGACTGAATAAAACTAATTCTGGATAATTACTGGCATGAATGTAAAGCAAAAGAAGTACCACACAGTAAAATTTTGTTTTCCAGTTCAACCTATGCTTTTTTTTTAAATAATAATGTATTTTCTTAGTAATATGTATTTTTAAATAATAATATATTTAATAGCCTAATTCTTAAGTGTGGCCATTCGTCTGAAAATTACCTTTTGTTGGGACTCCTGGGTGGCTCAATTAAGGCAACCAACTCTTGATTTTAGCTCAGATCATGATGTCAGGGTCATGAGATCAAGCCCTACATCAGCTCCACTCTGGGCATGGAGACTGCTTAGGATTCTCTCTCTCTTTCTCACTCTCTCTCTCTCTCTCTGCCCCTCCCCTACTCTCTCCAGAAAGAAAGAAAGAAGAAAAGAAAAAAGGAAAGGAAAGTTAAGTTAAAGAAAAAGCAAATTACCTTTTGTTGAATCATCCTCTATTGGCTGTTTGAACAACGTAATATCCTTAAAAGTACATAAGAACAAGACCACCTTTTCATGTTCATTTCTTATTGGTGCAATTTGCATATAAAACCAAACAGGGGTTCCTGTAAGAGACAGAAAGGACAAGAGAGTGTGACATAGCCACAGCAATGATTTGGTCTCCTGCCTCCCGTCTTTCTTTAGCTGCCAACTGCTATGCCAGGAACAAGCACCAAAACAACAGTATTTTAACTGTTTTCATAATTTAAAAAACAACAACAACAGAAAACCTTTAACTTTGTATCAATTACTAGTTGCTCAAATATTAATAAACATATTTCAACCCAAAATATCAAAATGTGAAAGTAAAGCTGAGAGTGACATTTTCACCATGCAGGAGCACAAGGGCAGGGTCACAACTTAAGTAACACCAGCATGACCTTTAGGTCTGTGTCCCTACACCTCCGCTGCTCTCTCCAACTTCCTTTTCGTAGTTTCATCATGTGTGACCCCTCCTACATGCTGCTCTCTTCCTGTCACTTTGAGGCATGTTTCCGATTGACTTCAACAGCAACCCCTGATGCTCTGATAAGCATTCCTCTTGGAGGAGCCTTTGAAATGCTATTCCTACCTCAAGGCTCTCTCATCAGAGTTCTAAGATGGTTCTATGCCTTTGACAGCACCCCCACATCAGAGAGAGAAGATGTCAGCAACACTTGGTGTCCGCTGTACACAGAGCTCTACCCAAAGCTTTTAAGGTAACCTTAAAGGGGGAAAAAAAAAGACGTGCCCGTAGCCCTTGAGATCTAAGGTGTCTTCATGAGCCACCGCTTCCTATCTCCTTCCCTCAAAGAACAAGGCTTGACTCCGTTGCCATGTTCTTTTTTTCTTTTTTTGCCTTTCTTCAAATAGTCTTCATTTTTTAATAATACATCAGTTGCATATAACACCCAGTGCTCATCACATCATGTGTCCTCCTTAATACCCATTACCCAATTACCCCATCTCCCTGCCCACCTCCCCTCCAGCAACCCCCAGTTTGCTTCCCATAGTCAAGAGTCTCTCACGGTCTTTCTCCCTCTCTGATGACCTCCCATTCAGTTTTCCCTCCCTTCCCCTATGATCCTCTGCACTGTCACTATGTTCTTTAAACAATGGCTCCTGCAGACTCCAGAAAACGGAGTTTCAGAGCACTTAAGGCTTTGGATTTGGACAAACCAGGATTTGGCATTATTTCAAACAATAAATATTTAAAGACACAAGAAATGCCTTCAAAGGAGTAATTATCCATTAAACGATAAAACACCAAAGGAATGTTCCATCAGAATCAAGAAGACACATTTTCCATTATATTCTTTCCAAGCCATAGTGCAGTAAAGCCTCTCCAAATTTTCTATCTTAAAGACAAAGGCTTTCATTAGGTTTGGGATTTGGGGGATGAAATATGAAACTATTAATAGTTTCTACATGAGAGTTGATAGCCTGTTAACAGTGCAACGAAAACCAAATTAGAAAAACCTTCATTAAAAAAAAAGAAAAAGAAAAACCTTCATACCTTTGGCAAAAAAAAAAAAAAAATCACAAAGTAATGTCACCACAGTGGGGAACCTAGACAAGAAGAGAGGGCTTAACTACCAGGTTCAAGAAATCAGAGAATTAGAAAGAGGAGGTGTTTATAGAATATTCAGTTTGACAACCATATCCTTTGCAACCCTGGGGCCTGTGAAAACATGGCCCTTTCCAAAATGATCACTGGGTAAGCCAGCAATCTCATAAAACTATCACACTATCTCCCAGAGAGGACTATTCTTTGTTCTTCTACACAGTGTACCCAAGAACTGTGAGTGATATACGTAGGTCTACAAATTACCAGGCACACGTGCTAGCAGATACATGGCCTATAGCTATTCCAACACAGTGAGCTTGAGGCAGCCCAGTCATAAACAGAGAAAAGGGCATTAAAAAGTCATTTTCCAAGGTCTGTTAAAAATCTGAAAAGAGAGGATGTTACATTTTGCACCTTCCATGAAAAGAGCAACTTTTCAAATTTTAGCATAGAGTCAGGGCTTTTTTAAAACACTGCTTTCAGATGTCAAGGCAGATCTTTTTCAAGTAGATTTACAGGGTCAGATTCCCAAGTAGGCAGAGTATTTGCTGAGTGGCTGGTAAAGTAGCCACATTCTGGTTTGGGGGATCAAGGGAGCAGAAGGTCTGACAGGGTTAGGCAGAGAGGCCAGTTGTAGGTGGAAACTCAGGGCTGTGCCTCGGCATTGATTAACTGGGTGGCCCTGGCTATCACGGATGTGCCTTTGTGTAGGCAGAAAGACCCATATAAATCATCAGCCCAGAGCTACTGCTTCCTTCTCAACAGTAGAAATAGTTCCCTGCTAATCAGAGCAATGCACCTTAAAAATAGAGCCTACAAACAAATATCAGTGATGACACATGTTAAATCAGGTATCTCAATCCCTCCATTTGCAAAATGCTGTTTAAGCTAATTACTTAATGAAGTGTTAGGAAGACTTAGCATTCAGGAATTCCCAAAACATACCTATAGACATGTGAATTTTTCTAACATTTTTAAAAAGTTACAAGAACATACTTTTTTTAGTTGATGTTCAAGAACCTTCAGGTAACAATTTACAAGATTTTTTTAAAGCTCTTTTAAGTGTAGTAGAACTCCACTAAAATACATAAATGGTATCCATCCTTCATATTAATGAAAAAAACTCAATGCAAATAAGAGAATTTCAAAACATTTAAAAAAAGCAAAATACCACCTTGGAAGGAAACTTCTGGAAATGTAAAATTTAAGTTCTTGTTAACATGATTTAAAGGATGTAAGGAAAACAATCTCCACAAAGGTATTTTTTTTTTAAGATTTTATTTATTTATTTGACAGAGAGCAAGATAAAGCACACACGCAGAGGGAGTGGCAGGCAGAGGGAAAGAGAGAAGCAGGCTCCTTGCTGAGCAGGGAGCCCATGTGGGATGCGATCCCAGGACCCCGGGATCATGACCTGAGCTGAAGGCAGTCATTTAACCAAGTGAGCCACCCAGTGCCCCCCAACAAAGGTATTTTAAAGAAACTCAGAAACTATGAATTTGGTTCTCATGCTTTAAAATCAGGCAAAGATTTGTTTATTCTCCCTAGCGTCAAAGTGAAATGACTTTAGTAATAAGGAATATCCTTAAATTATTTGCTAAACTTGGAGCACATATCTAAGTCATTCAAAGGAGAACAACCCTATATGAAAAGGATATAGGGTTTTGACATATGACTCTAATACAAATTTATCCAAATGTATCCATATGTATCCATATGTATCCACCATGTACCTGGTGAGAAAGACCCAGAGGACTCCTCAAGCTTGACTTTTCTCTGGTAGAGGCCAGAGCAGATCATTCAGAATGGACTGTGTTCTAAGTGACAAGCCAAAAGACATTTGGCTGTGAATAAAGAGAAATACCTCCTTGGCCTTGATTGTAACATGAAAGATGAAATGAGAAGGTATTTCATAAGTAATACCACTAGAGACCACCATTCCCATTACCAAGTGCACTAATTTTAAAGCAATGCCTGTGGTTATGATTATCTCTTTGATGGTCTGTTAATAAAAAGAGAAATCTAAGTTCAAGTCTAAATATTTTATAGTGAATAAATGTTTGACTAAGACGGAGAGGATGAATTATGCTGTTAAAAAAAAAAAAAAAAAAAATCCAGCCAGCTCTGAACATGGAGCAAGTGCTTCCTGTTGAAGCTAAAATGCTTCCCAAACTGGGGAAGAATTTAGGAACCATCCAGTTCCACTGAGGATAGTAATTGGCTTTGGGACGCCTGGGTGGCACAGTCAGTTGAGTGTCTGACTCTTGATTTAGTTCAGGTCATGATCTCAGGGTCATGAGACTGAGCCCCACGTTGGGCTCCATGCTCGGCGGGGAGTCTGCTTGATATTCCTCTCCTCTGCCCCTCCCACGCATGCTCTCTCCCTTTCTTGTTCTCTCTCTCTCAAATAAATAAATAAATCTTTAAAAAATGATAATTTGCTTTGCTGTCATTTGTCATTAACATGAAATAAATTGACCCATCTTGTGAAGTGACTGTTCACTAAAAAAAAAAAAAAAAAAAAAAAAAAAGGTCAACTTGGGGAAAAGAAACAAAAGTCAGTGACCCGACTAGCCAAAGAAAACAAATTAGAAAGGAAACTTTGTTGTGGAGTCCATTAGTTGTTTTTTGTTTGGCTGGTTTTTTCCTCCAAATTCTAGAAGACATTCTATATCATGAGATCTTATGTGACATATAATGGACAATTAATCATTCACAAATTCCATCCTAGAGAACAGTTCACTATAACCAATACAAATTTACCAGAGGTGAATGGCCTATTCTAAAAGTAGGAAAAACTTCTGTTGGCCTTCCACACAAAAGAGTCAGTCTAGGAAAAGGCCATATTCATAAAGACCTCAAGTCAATAACACACATCAGCCATGAACATGTAGAAAGGGAATCACACATACTCAGTGATACCAATTGCCTTTTCCATTAACCACAAGAAATGAATGAATTCCTCTATCATTTTTAGTTGCTGTAATGTAACTACAGGATCTTTACCATGATCATTAACTATAGAACATTTTGCCGCCACCACACACACACAACTCATATTTAAAATGCATCATATTTTCCTGCCATTCCTCAAAAGGTTGCTTTTCATAGGTAGAATCATTAATTAGTTCTGCTATCTGATTTCATCAGCACCCCCTGCTTTTGCCAAGAGAAGGACAAAGTTTGATATTCTCTCTGCTCTATGGCTCAACAGCCACTGACCAAAACATAACATTTACCAAGCTGACACTTCTTATTGGTAATTTAGATACGCACTGTTTTTCTTGTACAGAAGAACTTCAAAGCAGTTTGACTCGTAGTTGTCAAAAGTTTGTCTGACTTTCTCAATGGTCTTCTTGTCAGTCAATTCTCCATACATAAAACTGGGAAAAAACAAACAATCCACTTCAGTTCTATGTTGCTTTTCAAATGCTACATAAAATCACATAGTTGTCTCTTTTGATTGAGTATTCAAATATAGTTACAAAATTAAATGCTGCTCCCACAAAACAAACTAAATTATTAAAACAATGTTTTAATCATGACTGTTAAACTTCTTGCTAGGAGCTAGGTTTAGAAGTTATTTCAAATACACACACACACACACACACAGAGAGAGAGAATCATCAACCTACATACTTCCTATAGGCATGATTTTCAGTAATTATGGTTTAGTTAAATAACACCAGTTTCCCAACAGCACAGTTCAGATTTCAGTTATCGTAGAATATTGACTGTAAGTAACTACATAAAGTATAAACTTTGCTGTTGGCTCCTGAGCCTACAAATCACTAGTAAACAGTAACTAGTAAACTAGTAAACAGACATCACCATCAGTAACCAATCACATCACTTCTTTCAAAGCCCCTCAGTCTTGGTCACGGTGCCTCTGTTATTTAGTTCATGCACAGACCCAAAGCGTGGAGTTATGCTGCCTCCTTGGCTCTCAGCAATAAACCCAGGTGACATTTTACAAAAATGGATAATTGAAAGCAGGCATTCGCCATCAAAGATTAAAGTCCAGCAAAAAAATGAAAAATGATAATGCTGAAAGGGACATTCAAATTGAACATAAATGAAGGTATAGATGAAACACAAGACTGCGGCAATGTTGACACTTGAGAGACTCTAGATGTGAAGCCAGAGGAACTTAGGGAGTGTGAACTTAGCAACATAAATCGAGAAAGCAATTGTGACAAAGAGGATCAAGTTTTCCCAGAGGAAGTGAAGCCAGTAAAAACACTTCACATTAAAAGAACCACAGGAGATAGTTCACAATAGTGAGAGTACAGGAATAAAATAGTTGTGGTTGATGCAGACTGATGGAGGAGTATGAGCATTTACTAAGAGGGAAAGAAAAGTTCTCTTCATGTCATATGTCTCATAATATAATGAGAAGGCAGTATGATTCAAATGACTCATGATAGTTTTTTACAAAGAGATGAAATGCTTTAATTCTCAATGCTTCTTGAGTTCTAAATCACAGTGTGCTAAATATGAGTTTTACCATTATTTGCATTTCCTTGCATTTATAACCAACAGTAAGAGAGTTTTTAATGTTTTGACAGACACTGGTAAAGGTCACAGAATAATCACAAATTTTTCCACTGAGTTTTAAGATTATATTGGTTTCAACTTGCATGGTCTTTTTTATCTTCCCACACTCAAGGATATGTGAAGAGTCCATGTTACACATATAATACATCAACATTCTCATCAGTTACGAATATTTTCTCAAGACGGGTACAGGTATGGCTAACAGGAGAAAAATAATGGTGAGAAGTTGAAGAAGATATACACTGTTGCCATGGGTGAGGGAACATACAAAATATAGGTTAAAGAGTGAGATTCTACATGCCCCCAAAATCTCCCAATGTTTGAAATTATCTGTTTTTCTAAGAGAACCTCCACAAAAGTCTTGTTATCTACAAAACAGAACTCAGTCAAAGCCTCTAAAACTCCACTCATGAAGCTTCCATGGTTACCAGTTGTGCATCTGGTTTTAGATACATAGTTCTACTAGTTAGCATAACTGTCCACCAGAAAAGAAAATGCAGCATCTGCCAGATACCTTGACTAAGTTTCTGAAGGTTCAAATCTATCTTTGTTACTGCTTTTCTTCTAGTTTCAATGAGTTCACATATTGGCCAGAGGCTAATCCAAATGAGGTAGGGCCTAAAGCTTATACAATCTTAGGGACCCTCTTTAAAGAAAATAATATAAAATTATAAAAAAAAAAAAAAAAAATTAGGCGGGGCGCCTGGGTGGCTCAGTGGGTTAAGCCGCTGCCTTTGGCTCAGGTCATGATCTCAGGGTCCTGGGATCGAGCCCCGCATAGGGCTCTCTGCTCAGCAGGGAGCCTGCTTCCTCCTCTCTCTCTGCCTGCCTCTCCGCCTGCTTGTGATCTCTCTCTGTCAAATAAATAAATAAAATCTTTAAAAAAAAAAAAATTAGGTACAGAGCTTTGGAAGACATCCACTCAAGGGAGGGCCCCTGAAGGTTGAGATTCATTATCCTTATGGGAAATCCCCCCTGAATGTATCAATTTAGAAAATTTACAACAGGAAAAGCATGGTTGAATAGCAACCCCCCCCCCCAAAAAAAACAACAACAAAACTAGAGGATTCAACAGCAATGCCATATCACAAGCGGAAATTACAGAGTCATGGCCCATCTTACAATAACTCCAAACTATGCAACTAGAATTCTAGAAATTAAGAAAGAAAAGGAAGTAGATAAAGCTTACCAAAGGCTGCCCAATCCACATCTGCATTGTCAATTACAGTATTTATATCTTTTATTAAAAAAGAAAACTTTCGGGGCCCCTGGATGGCTCAGCGGGTTAAAGCCTCTGCCTTTGGCTCAGGTCATGATCCCAGGATCCTGGGATCAAGCCCCGAATTGGGCTCTCCGCTTGCCGGGGAGCCCGCTCCCCCCATCTCTCTGCCTGCCTCTCTGAATACTTGTGATCTCTGTCTGTCAAATAAATAAAAATCTAAAAAAAAGAAAACTTTCATTGTCATTATAACAGTAAAATAAGCAGGAGAATCTCAATAAAATGACAGATACTAACTCCATAATCTCAGAGCCAGACTCATAGAGGAAGCCTCTGGGTCTTCCCGTAAGAGAGCACTGAAAAACCCTTACTTCTGCCAAAGCCTGAATTCCAGCTCATGACAGTTTCATGAAAATCTCTTGAAGGCATCACACTGAAACTAGAATTACTCAGTTAAAGGCACCCTCCTTGCCCTCCAAAAAATAAGACACTATTTTAATACTGTTGGCATTTTTTACAGATAGGTGACCTTTTTAATCAAACAGTTTTTTTAAAATGACTGTTACTTTTAATCTAAAGACTTGTTAGTAGAAAGAAAACATGAAGAATCAGAAAAAAAAAAAGTTAGGATAACTAAATGTTTACAGTCTTAAATGGAAAGGAAAGAAAAACCATTTTACCCCTGTTAGTAAATGTCAGCGCTCTATGGTTCAATAAACTAAAACACAATGTCCACAATTGGCCAACAGGAAAACATTTAAAAAAAGAAAGCATCTATAAAATGAGCAATTAAGATTAAAAAAATTCTTGAAAAATTAACTCTAATAGGATTTAAAAATAAGTTACAACTTAAATTTTAAAAAACTATCGGAAATTGATATGACAATACCACCTAATAAAAAATACAACACAAGTCTGATTCACTGAAAATTCTAAAGAGAAGAGGAAAACAAGAACTTTTCAAATAAACTCTAAAATTTCTATAATATATTCTTCTCTAATTTAGCTCTCTAACTGGTAAAATTACCTGTCCTAATAGAGGCACTTAAAAAAAAAAAGATTATTACAATCTGAATACTTCCTTAAAAATTAGTCTCTTATTTCTTATATATTTCACTCATATTTTTCATTTTAAGTTTATTAAACCAAATATATGTGACAGAACACATATGTGAAGTGGTAAAATGCAGCAATAAAAAATATTTCAAAATGAACTATAAAAGATGTTTGAAATGTATTATCCATCCTTCCAATGAAAGTATTTCCATCTGAAGTTGTTCGAACGATACTAAGTCAATGCTTCCACACAGTTTATGAGAATGACACATTTGTTTATTTGCTCAGTTATTTTACACATAAATGTTGAGTGTCTTTATCAAGGTTCCCAGCAGCCTGACTCCAGATGGCTGAAGCTCAATGCATTCTTTGAATGGTTTATGGAATTTGAAGGATACCAAGATTTAGAAATGGTAACCATCAGGCTTTAGAAACTATATACCCATATAATAATTTTGCACATTTTTTTATGTATACCCTCCAGGAATACAAAATGGGAATATAAAAAAATTTTCAGAACATTCTAAAAGAATGCCAAGCTCTCCTTAGAGTAATTATAAATGACTTCTATAGCTGCACTGTTATCTTATTGGAAAGGAAAATAAAATTAAACGCTCAGAAGCTATCTATCCCCGCTATAATATTGAGTCGTCATGATAGAACAGAAGACCACCGGACCACTTACAAACTGCATAATTCATGGGCAAGACATATAATTGCTTTGACCTTCAGTTTCCTCATCCGTAAAATGATGATAATGTTCATATACCTCAGAGGGTGAGGGTTTTAAAAAGATAATGCACATGAAGTCACAAATTATAATGTGCTGTACTATGGCTGAATTATGACTGGAATGCTTCTTATGGCTGGGGTTAGAAGAAAGCCCCTCCAGCCCACTACTCTCTAGCTCCTCTACAATTCTAGAACAGGGTTTGTGCCAAGCTTGCTAATGGGCAGTGTCACTGTTTCTTAAAGAGATATGTACATTGGGACGCCTGGGTGGCTCAGTTGGTTAAGCGGCTGCCTTCAGCTCAGGTCATGATCCCAGCGTCCTGGGATTGAGTCCCACATGGGGCTCCTTGCTCGGCGGGGAGCCTGCTTCTCCCTCTGCCTCTGCTGCCACTCTGCATGCCTGTGCTTGCTCTTGCTCTCTCTCTCTCTCTCTCTCTCTCTCTCTGGCAAATAAATAAATAAAATCTTAAAAAAAAAAAAAAGGGGGAGGGCTGCCTGGGTGGCTCAGTGGGTTAAGCCTCTGCCTTCAGCTCAGGTCCTGATCTCAGGGTTCTGGGATCGAGTCCCACATCGGGCTCTCTGCTGGGCAGGGAGCCTGCTTCTTCCTCTCTCTCTCTCTACTTGTGATCTCTCTCTCTGTCAAATAAATAAAATCTTTAAAAAAAAGGGGGGGGGATATGTACATCACTTTGGGCATCTTTTTTTTTTTAAGATTTTATTTATTTGAGAGAGAGAGCACACATGAGTGGGATTAGAGGGAGAGGGAGAGAGAGAACCAGACTCCATGCTAAGCAGGAAGCCCAACATGGGGCTCGATCT